TCTGTTTCTTCCAGAACCTTTCTAGTGATATCTCTGGATATGAGATTCCAGGTGATATCCACTAGCACACTCAGCTTGTGTATTTTCAGTTTTGGAAGGCTCCTCTTCTCCCTCCTCCTCTTCCCTCCACCTTCTTCCCCCCACCCCCATGCATTTACTCTGTCCTCCAGACATTCTTTCCTCCCACTGGTGCATTCTGCTTTGCAAAACTCCACAGGCACTCACACACCTAGGGATCATAGGATCATTTACTTCAATCCCCTGATTTTACAGATTCGGAAACTGAGGCCCAGAGAAGAGAAGCCCAAGCTCACACATGTAGTAAGTAGCAGAGCCAGGATTTGAGAACAGCTTTTTTTTTTTAACTGTAGACAGATCTGGAGCCTACCATACTCCACTTCTCTAATAAGCAAGTCTTGATTTTTCCTAGAGAACGGGGGTAACTGTGAGCCCTCGAAGCCTGCCATCACACCTGTTAGCCTTTTGCCATCATTCTCAAACTCTAATACAGGGGTGGGGAACCTGTGGCCTTGAGGCCACATGTGGCCCTCTAGGTCCTCAAGTGTGGCCTTTTGACTGAATCTAAACTTTAAGGGCCACACTTGAGGACCTAGAGGGCCACATGTGGCCTCAAGGCTTCAGGTTCTCCCGCCTGCTCCAATACCTTCACAAGGAGTCGGTGTCAGTGGTATGTAATGGAAAGATTCAGTGTGGGGAATTTGGAGTCGGAGGACTTGAGTTTGCAGCCCAGATCTGCTCTTTATTATCCATGTGTCCTTGGACAAGTCACTGCCATTCTCTTAGACTCCATTTCCTAATTTTTTTTAATGAAAATGTGGGACTAGATGATTTCTAAAGCCCTTTTTACCTCTAAATTTTATGAAACAATAAAATGAGACCAGCCATATAAATTAGTGGAACTAGTTAAAGGCCAAGTAGAGCTGTTTGTGTTTGAAAAAAAATCATAGGTAGGGGGCAGCTAGGTGGCACAGTGGATAGAGCACCGGCCCTGAAGTCAGGAGTACCTGAGTTCAAATCTGGCCTCAAACCAAACACTTGACACTTACTAGCTGTGTGACCCTGGGCAAGTCACTTAACCCCAACTGCCTAAAAAAAAAAATCATATGTATAGTGGATGTGGTATTTCTTGCCTTCTCAATGGGAGGGGGAGAGGTGGAGGGAGGGAGAGAATTTGGAACTGGACAGATTGGATAGATGGATAGATAGATAGATAGACAGACAGACAGACAGAGAGATGGTTGGTTGTCCTTCATTCTCAAAGAGGACCAAAATGACATCACTATACTAGAGTCAAGGTACAGTGTGTCCGACTGTTGCTGATCAAACCAATATGAGCTTGGAATGCTCTACCACAGGTTGGGCACAAAGAGTCCATGTAAACATTTGCGGTAAATTCTCTAATTTTGCTCATCCCATTGGATGGATGGATGGATGGATGGATGGATGGATGGATGGATGGATGGATGAATAAATACTTAATAGGACTTTAGGCCCTTGAGCAGGTGAGAAATATGAATAAAAATTGTTTCATGAAGATTATCCTAGCAGTTGTGTTTTAGATGGAGAAAATTACAAGCCAGTCCAGTATACTGTAAAGAATACAGGTTTTAGAACGGGGTAATATGAGTTTGAATCACATAGCTGTTTATGTAAGCTTGGGTAAGTCGCCGTTAACTCTCTGGACCTCAGTTTCCTCATCTATAAAACAAGTGAATTGGACTAGATAATCTCTAAGGTTCCTTCCAGCTTCAAATCCTCTGATCTAATATTATGGAGGTAGGATGACCAACCAGACAGCTGAGGCAGAGCCAACAGCACCAGATGTTTGTTGAACTAAACTGAATTGAATGAGGGGTAGTAGTTGAGGCAACGAACAGCAAGAACTCTAAAAGACATCACAAAGAAATGAGAGCCAAGGAGGAGAGGCAAGGACTCCCAAATAACTGGGGTGAAAACTGGGAAAGAATGACTGAAGGGAAAGACATTTTCTAGTGTTAAATTTCAGATGTCATCGGAAATTGTAAGTAAATCTCCATGTAAGGGGAGATCTCCTAGAGATACCTGGAAATATAGGGCTCAAAAGAGAATAACGTCAGTACTTCCATACGTTTGAGAGTCATCTGCATAGAGATGGTTGAAGATGCAAAGGGATGGACTCCCTTAAGGAAGGATGTAGAGTGAGAAGAGCAGAGGATTTAGGAATGAACCTTAGAGCCCCTCGACATTTAGTCCACAAGGGAAAAATAGCCCAGAAAAGAAACAGGGAGAGAATCGTCAGAGAGACAACAACAGATTGAAGATTACATAGTGTCACGGAAGGCAGGAATGGAAAAAAGAGGGTTAGGTCAACAGTGTCCGATGAAGCTGAGATATACGGAAGGATGAGGACAAAGAAGGGACCACTGGTTTTAACCAAAGAGAAACCAGGGACAAACTAGGAGAAACTGGTTTCAGTACAGTGGCCTGTGCCGCAAGTATCAAAGTCTGCTATTTAACTGAAGTAGAAGGTAATGATACCGATAATAATTTTGTCTACCTGTGCAACAGTCTATAGAACTTTGAATATAAAGGAAAAATAAGTAGGATAGTAACTTTTCCCAGGATCCTTTCTACCTGAACCCCATCAAAAAAATGAAAACAAAGTAACAATAATGATAAATATGAATGACATCTATGTAGCACTTAGATTCCTGTTAGTTTCCTACAAATTCACACTTCCTATCATGACTGTGTGGGTGAAAACAGTAACTTCCACTCAGCCAAATCATAACTTTAGTCTACTGTATACTAAAAATATGTAGGCCAAAAAATTTCTAAAAGATATGAAGAAAAAAATTGAAATTCAATTAAAAATTACTGTACATCTATGTAGTTACATTAGTTTTCTGGATCTCAAGGAACAGAAATGTGGTCATATCCACCTCAAATCTTACTACAGGCTTTATTAATGACATAGAAACCATTTTCAGTACACATAGTGAATATGTCCTATAGGCGTGCTATACTTTCTCCTCATTGCTGCTGTCGGGTTCCAGTCTTGTTCTTGTTTTTTGTTTTTCTTTTTGGCATTTGGGGTTAAGTAACTTGCCCAGAGTCACATAGCTAGGAAGTGTTATGTGTCTGAAACCACATTTGAACTCAGGTCCTCCTGATTCCAAGCTCTGTCCACTACGCCACCTAGCTGCCCCTAGTTTTGTTCTTGTTAGGAGAAACCCAAGATATTGGCTCTGTCCTGAGCTATAAACACATTCAATGGCCTGAGGGGGTTAGGGTCTCTGGGGGTTTTATACTAAAGTGGACAAAAGTTAGCTTTTTACAAAGGCACTTATCTAGGATAAGCAGACCCTAGGCACTCTTAAACACACAAGTCATAAAATAGGTCAGATTAGAATAAACTCTTGTTGACAGAATTCCTTTGGTGACAAGGACTACACTTATTGGATTCATTAGTCATTTTAGCTGTTTCTGTCCATCTGTCTTCTTTCCTTAGCAGAAGGCATCCAGTCTGGCTAGACTGTTATCAATTACTATTCTAATCTATACCGGGAGAACATGGCACCAATTATGATATCTAGGGGACTGATGCAGAACAAGTTATAGAGCATATGTTTTGAGACAGGCATCAAAAATGGAAGAGGGAGCAAAGGAACAACAAATTTAAGTATGGTTCCAGAGCTCAAAACTGGGTAGGCAAACGTGAGTGCACCAAAGTAAGGCTCCTGATAAAAGCTACATCTCTCCCCTAATGCCCCATATTAGGTGTGGGGGCAAATAGCTATGCATCTGGCCCTCCTGTGGCTGAAATTGTCCTTCCTTCGACATCTGGGGAAGTTGGAGCCAGGCATATCCACTTCCCCTAGGCCTGCCATGGGCCCAGAACCCGGACCCTCCCTCCAAAACTGATACCAAAGTATCCATAGGAGCATGGTGGTAGAAAAGGATGTGTAGTCTCCAGGGCAGTTTATTCTAATTACCCGCGAAAGGTAGGGGAGGAAGAGGACGTCGTTGCCCCACTACCAGATGTTAGATTCAAATGTGGAAACATGTCTGTCCTGGCCCAGGTGAGGATCAGGACTCCTCCAGCACTGAAAGAAAGTTCAGAGCCCTGGGGTGGCAATCAAGGACAACTATCCTTAGTAACTTACTTGTTCTCTTTTCAGAACAGTGGCAGCTTGGTACCATCCAATTAGCTTTGAAAGCTCTGCTGACATAACTCTCTCCCTACCTACCCCACCAGATCCCTCAGCTCCTCCTCTGATGGTGCTTTATGTGCCTGTCACCCCAGGTACAAAAATTCCTAGTTAAAGCAGGGGTATAACTAGACAGGAAGCATTTGGTAATGTAACATTGGAATGCACTGTAGCAGAAAGTGCACAGGGTTGGGAGTCAAAAGGCCCAAGTCAGCTCCATTCTACCTATATGACCCTGTATAAGTCAGGTTAACTCTCTAGGAATCTGTTTCCTCACCTACAAAATGAGGGACTTGGCCTAGATGATGTTCCAAGTCCTTTAAATCCTATGATACCTATATTTCAGGTTGCTCAATGCCCATAAGCAATACCAACCTAGCCCTCATGCCAGTTCTCCTTTGAAAAAGAACCATGTAAGAGGAGAAAGGAGTGGTGTGAATCAGCATTGAGGAAAGATAACTAGATCAAAAGGTCAAGTCAATTTAGATTGCTACCTGTGATCATTTGTTTTTCAGCTGTTTGTGCGCAATATTAATGCCTAAAGACAGGAGTCTAAAGGTTCTGGCCTCACAATGAGCAGCAATGAATCCATGTATCAAGAACAGGAAAAGATGAAGGTTTTTCCTAGAAGGGTGCCTGCTTGCTTTGGCCCTTCCCCAATTCATTACTGCATTCATAATAAATGTCACTTGCACTTTACAAAGAAACAACTAAAATACCATAGGCCCATAGTATAGTACTTTAATACCCTTTAATGAAATACAACAATGATTGTTTCTTTCTCCCCAGTCTTTCCTCACATGGTGAAACAGCTGAACACTGGCCTTCATGTAATGATTTTAATCTTCCTTTTTGTGGCCATGGCCTTGGCCCTGGTCAGTATGGGGTTTGCAGTCCTCAATATGATAAAGGTCCCGTATCGTGCAGTAAATGGCCCTGCTGGTATATGTCTGTGGAATGTACTTGCAGGTAAGACACACTCTTAAGTTGTTTCAGGTCCACATAATTGTCAAACTGTGATGGAAATACAGTTAACTTTACTGTAAGAAGGCATTAAAATGCTTGCTATTTCTTCGTTTCTCTCTAATTTTATTTTTTTCAAATTCTGCCCTCTTTGTTTCCTCCACCCTTTCCTGGATTGAGAAGCAAGAAAAATAAAACACCTGTTTCAAATATGTATAGTTAAGCAAAACAAATTCTTGCAATGACCATGAAATACATAAATATAAATATATGTATATACATATTTACATACACATATACACACATCTTGTGTCATGTTTACACACATATTTATATAAACATCATGTACACATGTCATATATAGACGTGTGTATATCTCAAACTACACTCTGTGTCCAGCATTTCTCTATCAGGAGGTGGGCAGCCAAGTTTCATCACAAATCTACTAGAATCACAGCTGATATTGCACTGTGTTCCTAAGTCTTTCAAAGTTGTTTGTCTTTACAATATTGTGGTTACTATACCTTTGCCATTTAAGATCAGTTTCTGATTTTCCCTAAGTTTATCCATTAAAATCTATTTTTCATGGTTTTAAGTTACTCAGGCTATTATAATAATCTATTTTTGTTTACCCAAAAATATATACATGGTTATTTGGATTCATGAGTGATTCAGGGCATGAGACAGAGGGATGGGGAGGAAGAGAAGACAAGAGAAAATGATGCTGAAAGAGCAGGGACTAAGGAGAAGAAAGGAAATGGGGAGACGAGGGGGGGAAGGGGATACAAGCTGGAGGCATGATGAAGGCTCTATGGATGGCGCTCAGGAGCTGAAGGCTCAATAGCAGCATCAAACAAAGATGATAGGAGAAAGCAGGTGGCTTCCCTACTAGAGGGTAAGCTCCTTGAAGGTAGGGATTGTTCCATTCTTTCTGCTTGTATCCCCAGTGCCTACTACAATTGATTAATTAATTGATTGTGGTAAGAGTGCTGACCACCAAAGGTCAAATCCATTTGGAGATGGGAAAAAATAATCAGTATTGAACTTGAAAATCTTGGAGGGCTTTTCAGTAAGCATACAACATACCACAAGATTGATTCTACAGAGTAGAGCATATCCCTGACCTCCCCCAAGCTGATCCTTTCCATCAACCCAACCTGAACTTGTAACCATTTTTGATCAGTTCACAGTGACTAGTCTAACTACATCCCCCTACTCCAAGGACTACCATTGGTGGGGTTGGGAGGGGGTGCATTCCAAAATCAGGTGGGTACCTGAAGTCGGTGGTGAGAAGCAGAATGGGGCAGAGGCTGCAGAACAGAGTAGAAAGAGAATGGGATTTGGCATTGGAGGCCAGTGGTTTGCAACCCAGATTACTATCTATTCCTCTTTAATCCTTATTTTTTCTTATCTATAGAATTGGGGGTAGGATCTCTAAGGTCCCTTCCAGCTCTCCATCCTGTGATAGGATCCCAAGGTCAAAACTACAACTCTGAGCCAGAGAAAGGGTGGTATATGGGTCTCTCTTCTTTCCTTTCTCTTTGTACTTGTTAGCTACTCTTATCTCCTCTCCTTACCCTTTATCTATGGAAAAAGCTAATCAGGGCTAAATAAGGAGGTGATAAGCCCTGTGCCAAATAAATAAGTGGAAATGCAAGCTGAAAAGATATCCAGAAACAAGGTAGAAGGAGTCACAGTATAGTTGGAAACTCTCTTTGAACCCAGCCTCTCTTCCATGAGGCCCATGGGAACATCCTCAGGTGTTTAAGGATTTGTAGTTTCTTTATTCAGTTAAGTTTTTAATATGAGTGTCCCCATAGTACAGTGCTGTAGGAAGAATTCTGAATTTGGACTTAGAAAACATGGATTCATATCACGGCTCTGCTGTTTACTACCTGGACAAGTCACTTAACTCCTTGTCTGTAAAAGAAGGAGGTGAGCCTGTATATAACCTTTAAGGTTTCTTCCAGCTCTAAGTCTACAAACCCTATGAATAGGCATAAAGAATTAATTGTAGCATGTAAGGGGTAAGGGAAGTTCTGTCTCATTTATTCTTACAAGTCACTAAATATAAATCATCAACAAAATATAGCAAAATTTGGTGTTATACTTATTTGTACACTCGTTTCCCCATCAGATTCTAAATTCCTAGAACTCCAGTCCTGTGTCTAACTTTATCCTATGATTTATGTTCTGTGGTGAGCAAGTTGTGTCTGATTCCATTCTTCCAGCTATTTGTTACTTGTATCTCCTTCAGCACAGCGCCTTGCTCATAAAAGATGTTTGAGGATTATTACTAAATTGAATTGGATCCCATGAATTTGGAATTTGGGGTAACAGAAGAGACAAGGCTGAAATTCCAACTAATGATGTAATTAAAAATGCAGGAAGGTTAATCTATTGACAAGAGTGAGCCATTTCCAAATACTTTACTAGCAGCCATTTCAAACAACTAATGAATTACTTATAACAGATTCTTATCTGTTTATTAGAATAGATTCAATATGACTTCTATGTAATAGTACTTTATTAGCCTAGCTCATACTGCTATAGGTATTTCTAAATAATAAGATTGCATTTCTTCAAAAAACATTTCCTAATTCAGATTGGACTCACTCCTCCTTAGACTGGATCAGAGTGGTTTTGCTGCATGACTCCCTCACAGATTGAAAATGAACAGTGTTTAATATGGGGCTTTCAAAGGTTTGATTTAGCCTATATAAAATTTGGTTCAATCCTAACCAAGATGCTACAATTTAAACAAGGTACCATGAAGTCTTTAATTGCCAACATGAATTTTGAATCTCCCTTTGGTTGTAGGTGGTGTCGTTGCTTTGGCCATTGGGAGCTTCATGGCGGCTGTGAAATTCCATGACCTCACAGACAGAATTGCCAATTTTCAGGAAAAGATCTTTCAGTTTGTCGTCTTGGAGGAACAGTACGAAGAGTCTTTCTGGATCTGTGTGGCAAGTGCTACTGCTCACGCAGCAAATTTGCTGGTGGTAGCCATAAGTCAGATTCCCCTTCCTGAGATAAAGACCAAAATAGAAGAAGCAACTGTGACAGCAGAGGATATCTTGTATTAATTGCCTCCCCTAACAGTATCCTCTTCCTAAAAAGTGTTCTGTGAAATTAATTAAGGCATAATTTTGGGGGTTCTCATGCTTCTGATCTGGATGAAGACCTTTCATCATTAATGCTTTGGCCACTAATTAATTGGCAGTGATTTTATAGATTCTATAAAAGTCAATGGAAACTGTCAGTAATTATAACCAGGGATTGTAAATTGTATGCTGCATGGACCTCATTGCCTGAAAAAGGAATTAATGATGTAATCAAAGATGTACAATAATGGCATTTTCTCTAGAGACTCTCATCCTAGGAAATGTGTGGACCTAGGAAAGTCAAGATATCCTCCAACTGATGTATGCTGTATTCTTTTAAGGGAAACAGAAAAGAACATGGTGGTGGAGATGCTAGCATTCTATTGGTTAACAAACGTCTATTGAATGAAATAGATTCATTCTTGTTGTGTAAATAGGTCCATAAATTGAATTACTCATCATAGGAATCCTGGAGAGAGTTGTTTGCAAAGTGAAGCATTTTCTCAGGATCTGTCGGGTAGGCACAGATGTTTGTAGCAAAGTTTTCCTAAACTGTCCACACTTGTATTAATCAACCCAGATGTGAAGAAGATTTTCCACTTTTGTCTTCAGGCCAAGTAAAATATAACACTGCCCTTCTGTCCACCACAAACAAGCACATAAATTCCATATTTTTTTAAGTCTAGCTCTGTGTTCAACAAGGCAGGAAACACCCCAGGAGGAAATTCACTGCCCAGAATGCAGACCTGCAACTCATCTGTAACTTATAGCCAAGTATTAGCAGCCTAAGAGCCCTGGGCAGTTCATTAGTTTGCCCAAGGTCACACAACTAGTATGTGTCCAAGATAGGACTTGAACCCAGGTCTTCTTGATACCAAGGTCACCTGTCTACAACACTACTCTACCCCTGGAAGCTCCATCTCACTTGAAAAATAGAAGTTTGAGCTTAATGCTATGCCTCAGTATACCTATGTAGGATTTCCTCTGCTCTGTTGCGTTGTACTGAATGTCAGAGGAAAGAGCCCTGGATTCAGAGGCTGGAGTTCTGAGTTCAAATCTAAACTCTGCCACTAATTGGCTACATGACCACTCTCATAATTTCTCTGAGCCTCAGTTTCTTTATCTGTAAAATGAGGATAAGAATTGGTACCTATCTCCTAGGTTTGTTGTGATAGTCAAATGAGATACTGTAAATAAAGAATCTTTGTGATTTTAAGGACAGTTCAAACCAAGCTGTTGCTATTTTTTTCCCCTCTCTACAGATGTCCCACAGAAAGCATAACTTCAGTGCTCAGAAGTAGCATATCTTTCAGTGAACCCATCTCCCTGGCTCAGAGATGACAATGATGAATCATGTCATATCTGTGATTTGTCCAGCTCTTTTAGGCTTCACATAATCAATTCTAAGCTGTCTGCTAATGTAAGGAACATTACCACAGATCATTCAGAACAGTAATGAACTCTCAAAACCACTTCTATTTTTTTTAACAGCAGATTAGCCTTTCCAACCCTGTTTTGCTTAGGCCAATGTAAAAATTAATTTGCATTCCCAATGTACAGAACATCCTCACGTTTCTTAGGCACTTCAGTGCTTACAAAGACCTCTTCCTCATAACATCTCTGTGGGATAGTCTGTGCAAGTAGTATTACACCCATTTTGCAGATGAGGATACTAAAGCTCAGAGGGGCAAAATGACTTATCCATGGCACTAAGTGACTTCTCTACCTAGATATTGTTTGTACCTTGGGGGCTGAGAAGATTGTGGGGGAGTGGTTAGGGCTGGCTAGTGTACTAGAAGTTGAAACCTGACTTGGTTCCTTATTACCTGTATGCCCTTGGGCAGGTCTTTTGCTCATCTGCAAAAATGTGAGAGTTGTACTAGATGATCTCTAAAGTTTTTTTCCAGTTCTAAATTTAAAAAAAAAAAGACCATTGATATTGGGGGAAAAAATAATTGAGGGGTAAGACATTCCAATATGGTCTCTATATATTCAGTGATGGTTCATATGCCAAAATGGAGCCACATGTGACCAGAGCAGGTGAAGAACACTCAGATCCACCTTGTTTTCAGGGATCTAGAATATTCTGGCTCTCATATGAACAAATCTTTGGTGATAAAAGGATATTTAGAAATGGACAAATTAATGTCTTTAATATTTTATTATCTTCATATAAAAGAATTTACATATGAAGAAAACACTAATCATATTCCTATTTTCTGATTAATGTGGTCATGTCGATGTTAATATTTATTTTAAGGTTATTAGTATGCATATAAATTGTTGTTGCCAATATTAACTGTACTGAGTTATACCAAAGCTAATGAGATTTAGTATATTAATTTTTAAAAATATAATGTTAGTGAAACAATTCTTTATCTAGGCTGTTAGTGAAAATAAGAAAATATTTTAGTTCATGAAAATGTGTGTAATAAAAGGAAGATTAATTACCAAGATGTTTTTATTGGTAGCAATCAATTTTTAAATGCAAAGAAGACAACAGAACAGAGTCCAGAAAGAGTCACAGACAAATAGGACAGCTTTGAAAGTTACATGTTGAATTTATTATATATTTAAAAGTTAATGTAAACTCATGAGCTTATTGTTGGCATGTTGCTACTTGGTGTATGTAGTAGAGATCTGCAGTTTCACATAAATATGTATGCATACATATATGTATATATAAAATCTTTTTCTGTTTTTTGAACATGGAAATGTTCATTTTGCTGTAGTTATCAAGTTCAGAATAACAACAACAAAAAGCAGTTTCTGCAAAGTCCATCAAATACAAATATACCTGCTTTCTTCCCACTTAAAAGTTGTATTCTTTGAAAATGTGAGTAACATAGACATTATAACAGGCACACAGACTATATGCAGTCACACAATATAAAACATCCACGGATCATATTATTACATACAAACCCGGTTCAAATTATTTACTACCTGTGTGACCTCAGGCAAATCCTTTAACCTCTCTGGGCCTCAGTCTCCACATTTGTAAAATGAAGGAGTTAGAAGCAGATTACTTCAAAGGTCCTTTAGGGTTCTAGATCTATGATCTTCTGATCCTACAATAGAGCTACATACAATTGGCCTTACCTAAATTCTAATTGCTAACTTTATATAGTACTTTTAGGTGTGCAAATACCTTTATTTTTTTGCTTAGCACAATGCCTAGCACATAGAAAGCACTAAATAAATGCTTGTTTACTGACTAAACGAACAACACTTTACAAATATCTCATTTGATCCTGATAACAACTCTAAAATAAGTGCTATTATCATCCTCATCTTACAAATAAAGAAACTGAGGCTCAGATGTGTGATTATGTGATTTACCCATGGTCACTAATAAGTACCTAAGGCAGGATTTCAGCATGGATCTTTCTGACTCCAAATTCAGCTCTCTACCTATTATACCATGCTACCTTTATTTAGTTCCAAATAACAAAAAATGAAAAATTTTAAAATTGTAATTGCTGAAAATCACACCTACTGCACATTCAATGTCTAACCAGGTATCAAAGGCTTCCTTTCTATGTAAGTAGACATCCACTCTATTCCATCCCCAACAATAATCACAATTGTCCATTATGCTATTACCAATTATACTATTTGAATTACAGCCTCTCCCTTTGGACCAAACCCCAGCCTCTGTTGACATTAAGTTGATGGCTGAAGAAGAGGGAGTCCCCATTTAGTATCCTAATATATTCTACAATCTGCTCTGCTTTCTCTATAAAGGAACTTTACCTTTTTCCACAAGACTTGGTTAAAAACAGGTGGTTTAGTAACAAATTCTTCAAGGACTATGTCCAAAGGGCTGTAAAACTGTGCATACCCTTTCACCCAGCAATACCACTTCTTGGGCTGTATCCTAAAGAGATCATAAAAATGGGAAAACGACCCACATGTACAAAACGATTTATAGCAGCTCTTTCTGTGGTGGCAAAGAATTGGAAATTGAGGGGATGCCCATTAATTGGGGAATGGCTGAACAAGCTGTGGTGTATGAATGTAATGGAATACTATTGTTCCATAAGAAATTATGAGCAAGCAGACTTCAGAAAAACCTGGAAAGACTTTTATGAACTGATGCTGAGTAAAGTGAGAAGAACCAGGAGAACATTGTACACAGTAACATTGTGTGAGTAATAACTTTGATAGACTTAACTCTTCTCAGCAATACAAGGGTCTAAGACAATTCCAAAAGACTCATGATGGAAAATGCTATCCATATCCAGAGAAAGAACTATGGAGTCTGAATGCAGATGGAAGCATACTACTCTCTCTCTCTCTCTCTCTCTCTCTCTCTCTCTCTCTCTCTCTCTCTCGCTCTCGCTCTCGCTCTCGCTCTCGCTCTCATTTCTTCTTTCTTGTGGTTTTTCCCTTTGGTTCTAATTCTTCTTTACAACATGACTAATGTGGAAATGGTTTTTTAAAAATATTTTCAAGGTATCTTTTGGGGAACCTGACAAGGCTTCAAGGCTTCAGGAAGCTCATACAAGATATTTGTGACATTTTCCTCAAAGACCATGTTCCCATGACATGTATAATGAGGTGCTTGGATAGCCTCTACAATTCTATTCAACTCAAATTCTATGACTTGACTTATATTCTTACTCCTTGGTGTTCAGTCACGTCCAACTTGATGACTCCACTTGGGGTTTTCTTAGCAAAGATACTGGAGTAGATTGCCATTTCCTTCTCCAGCTCATTTTGCTGATGAGGAAACTGAGGCAAACAGGGTTAAGTGACTTGCCCAGGGTCACACAGCTAGTAAGTGTCTGAGGCCAGATTTGAACTCAGGTCTTCCTGACTCCAGGCCCAGTACTCTATCCACTGCATTGCCTAGCTATCCCATTTTTATTCTTACAACCTCATCTTTTTGTGGTGCTTTTTAAAGGCCAAACAAGTGAGAAGCATCTGTGTACCCAAGGCTGTAGGATCATTCAGCTACTTTTGATTTTCTAGGCTTTTTTAAAGGCATGAGGAAACAGTCACAGAGCTACTGTGAATCCTTTTGGTATAAAGGAAGAGAGGAGAAAGAAATCCCTGATCAAATTGGGGAGTTTTTTCTAATATAAAGTATAAATAGTTTAAAGGTTTTACCTAAGTAACCTACTAACAGAATGAGAATGAGTTTCCTAGACAACCTGATAACATAATATGACACT